CATGAATGAGTTAAATAAACATTACCATATAAATTATTAAAAGTTAACTAATTTAATTTCATAAAAATTACAATTAAAAAAGGATGGTTTTTTTAAGATTTGTGAAATGAAGATGACATTTGATTATATTATCAAGTAAAAAGAATAGTTTTTTCGCTTTTCTGAGAAATTTAAACTTTTTGTTGCGTTATTTTTAAAGTAAAAGAGAGAAAAAGATTAAAAAGATATTTGTAGAAAATAATTTTATTGATTTTTAAATTAATTTTAATAGAATTAAAATATTAATAAAAAAATATTATTATTAAAAATATATATTTTTTATGAAATGATCACTTATCTAATTACAAAACGCCAATTACAACTTTATAGGGACAATTAATCTTATTTTTGTCGCTGAAACAAAACGCTCAAAATTAAATTAAAAGACAATTCCTTCGTTCAAATTTATCAAACGTATTACCATTTATGTTTATTTCTGCTTATTAGGTCTATTTTATTATTACTTTTTTATTATTAGATGTAGAGCTTCTTTCTTCTTTTTTTAAAAAATTTATGAGCTATTATAAAAAGACATTTATTTTAAAAATCTATAAATGATTTATAAAGATTCGAAATATTGTATTAAGTGATTAAAGCACGTTTACCGATAACTGTCATAACACGTATCCTTCGTTATCTCAATGAAAAATCAACCTACATACGAAAACGTATTGAAACACATGCGGGGATATCGTAACTGGTGGCAGGAGAGGCCCTGAGATGCGTGGGCCTGACACATTCGCGTGGTCCCATTGACGGTCAGTCGGCGGCCTCGATCTTCAGTGTTAGCGTGGATGTGTCCTTACGACTTCGCGCTATCATCAGGAATGCGTTTTCGCAAGTACCGGTAATCCGAAGGCGCGATTATGCTATCACGCTACTATGGGATATTTATCTTGTGTATCGCCACGGTAGCCGGAGCATCGTTTCCACCGGTGGGGAGATGGTGTTCTATCTGGTTCACGCTAAGTAGCGTGCTACTCACCTTACCGGAGATCACACACCAATGGTCGCTCTTAGGACTGAATCTCTGGTCGAATCATGCAGCGGATAAGCCGACGTCTAACGAGCTCTTTGAACGTGACGCGACTCGATTTTCCAGGGGTGAGTACATTGCGAACGTTATAACATTATACAAACAAAGTGAAGAAATTGAAAAGAGGAATATCCATGAAAAGAACTATTTTGATGAAGCATCTAAAAATTTAGCTATACTGAGTAAAAAACGTTCTTGTTTGACTAAATCAATTGCTTATTTGATTAAATTAATATAAATATTAATTTATCTTCTTTATTTTTTTTTGCTGGAGAATATTATATGTTTTACTTGAATATAATATGTTTTACTTAAATACATATATATATATATATATATATACGTTCTTCTCATCGAAAGAAATACAGACGAATTGAATTTTAATTTAGTAAACATTTTTTTCTCAGTGCAAATAAAGATCTGAAAATAATTTTGTTGGATTATCAAAATATATAATATTTTTAAGCGTGCAAATCGATGGCAAAACATTCTAACAATCACTTAGGCTCAGTTTCACGGTTGACTCTTAATCGAGATTCAACTTATTTCTCATTTCTTTCGAATTCTAGCATTAGAAAGAGATGAGGAATAAGTTAAACCTCGGTTAATAGTTAACCATGAATTGTGAAACTGAGTCTTAGAGTGTTTTATCTAATTATTTTGATAATCGAAACAAAATTATTTCTAGATCTGTATCTAGCTAAATTTTTGGATACTTCAGCAAACCTTTTTTTGTTTCCTGGTATAATTCTCTGGTAACATATTTTAATAATTCAAAATCAAAATATCACGATCACGATGACGACCGTATATATACTTTGAACATTGTAAACTAGCGTTGACGCTGACATTGTCTTCCTCTTTTAAGCTGAAGAAAATTGAAGATTTTGTAAAGAAAATTATATGTCTTTTGCATCGGTATTCTTAGCTTACCATCGCGTTTGTTTTCTGAATTGAGAAAGACGTAAATGAAAGAATAAACCCTTTTCCTTGCAGCGTGCATGCAGTTTTAGGAATTTTGCAAAGGTACTTTTTCAAATATATTTTCTGCGTATTAAATGATGCATATATATGTGATGATAAAAATTATATAATACAATTCAATAAATAATTGTGCAAATGCTATTTATTAGTTCTTGATGGAATCTTGAAAAGAAAATTTTTACTATTAAATTACTTGTTTTTTCTTCGCTAATCAAACGTGTCGCTTTTCATTTTTAAAAAATGTAATTGATTATTCGCAGCATTTGAGTTAATTATTTAAGAAATTGAATAAAAATTAATAAAACAGCTAAATTAAATTTTTATCGAAAGCTCCTCGGAAAAGTCGAGTTTCGAATGTAAAACGTAAAGCAATGGTACTTAAATACAATGAAAAGCCGCTAAGCAAATAATGCGAACTGCAAATAATTCTACA